CAGGTTTCCCAGAAATGACACGCTGGGCTTTCCAGTGCCATTGTCGGTTGACGGGCAGAAGTGGACCGTGGACGTCCATCTCATCCAACGACATACAGGTGAAAGGTGCTGCCGGAGAGGGCCTAAACTCCGCTTTCTCCCCGGCCGCGGGGGGATCAATGATGTCGCCGATTCCTAGTAGATTACTCAGGACGATGGCTGCAGTGCAAGGTAGTGTCCGGTTACCTTCCGATGTGAGCTCCTGAGAGAATGCTCCAACCGTTAAGCTTGCTCACGGATCCACTCGCCTGCGCATGCGGAAGCACATCAACACCCTGGTCAGGGCGGCCCTGGGATCTGTGATGCTCGCGAGCATGGCGGCCGATCTTCGTCCATGCACGCTCGTTGGCGCTGGCAGTAAAATGATCAGAGAGCCACTCAAGCCCAGTCGCTTTGACAACTCCGCGAGGCGACGTTCTGGTTGGCAGGAAGTGCTCGTGCAATCGTATTCGGCAGACAGACCAGGGCCCTGATGGCTTTTGATTTTCCGATTGCCTGATGATCTGATGATATTCGGATCGGCCCTGCTCGCCTTACCTTATTGTTCGCGCGGGAAATAATTCCCATGGCCACTCACCCTGCCGTTTTATTTTGCTCCGGTGCCTGCGTCTCCCTCCCCTGCCCCTCAATCATATCCAAAGTTACACACGCACGCGGTGCTTGTTTCTAAATACTGCTCCTCCGTCTAGACCTCCCTTTCCTTTCTCCGACCCTCCTTTCCACACCCACCTCCAAGAAAAGAAATTCTGTTGCTGTTGCAGCTCTTCCTCCCCAGACTCCCCAGCTGCAAGGGTTTGCCCTGAGTCCAGCAAATTGGAGTAGACAATCAAGCGCTGCCTTCAGCCTTTGGGGGGTGATTCTCCACTACACTCGACCTGGATGCGGCGACGGTGGTTACTGATTCGCGCCCGGCCGTCTGGTTATCGAAGATCCAGCAGGTAGACTGACAGTCGCCTGTTTGATTTTGATCCCGACTTTCAGGGTCAGTAGAAGCCTTCTTTTTCCTTTTCTTCCGCTCTGCTGCTTTTGTGGAACGTTGTCACCATTTCTACTATCCCTGGTTGTGTTTCGAATTCTGTCGGGTAATATTTTTTTTTGTTTTGTTTTTGTTACTCTCGAAGCTCTGCTGAAAGAGACTCTGTTATCCTCCTATGTAGCGTTTGTTGGAAAAGTTGACTGTGTGGCATCACGCTGATCGATGGGATAGCTCTCTCCGCCGAGCTGTCCGCGGCCTCTGATAGCATGGCGGACTTGGGCTGGCACCGGACAATGTCTTCGGGTTCGCGTTCGACAACGACGGCACCAATGACACCTTTCTCTCAGGTCATGGAGTCAGAACTCGAGCCGTGTGCGTCAACGGCTTCTCTCTTTCTGTACTCTCAGGGTTCTGTCATCTTAAGTCTGCACCATGACACGCTGGCAGTCGACCGACGCTTCACGCGCCATCAGGAGAAGATTTCGTTCATATGTGTCGACAATGTCAGCGAACGAGGAGCCGGCCGTCTGGTCGTCAGCTATGATTTCAGCCAGACGGCCATTGTATGGGATCTGTTTACTGGGACCGAAATCTCACGATTCGCTTCATTCGAACCGCTTCGAGTGGCCGCATGGATGCGGAATGGAAACGTGGCGTTTGGTAACGACCCTATGAAACCGACTTTGGTACGGCACAGGTTGACCATGATCCAGGCAATGGCAAGGGCGAAGTGATCCTCTTCGAACCTTCAACATCCGAGCATATCTCCACTCGTACTATCTTTGACCCCATCACAGCGTTGGCTCCAGGCGCGGACTGCCGTACCTACGCTATCGGGTGAGTAACTTGACATATGTGTTTTGACATTGATTTGCTAACACTTGTCTAGGTACCAAAATGGCTCCATTCTCATAGCCAATCTGCAGCCCACGTTTACCATCCTGCACACCTTGACCACGTCGAGAGGTCCATCGCCAATTGTGTCATTGGCTTGGCATGCATCCTCGTCGAAGCAGAAATCAGACATGCTTGCCACGCAAACTGCTGAAGGTGATCTCAGGGTCTGGAGCATAGCAAAGCCCCCAGGTAACGATTCTCCCCGGGTGATACGGGTCCTCAAACGAACAGAATCGTCGTACTCGACGGGACCGAAATGGATGGCGTGGTCCAAGAACGGAAAAATCGTGGAGTATTCGGACAGGTATGGTGACTCTGCGTGGAAAAAGATCTGTAGAATGTGTGCAGACTCGCTGACTTGGGACTGATCGCAGAGAAACGTGGGTCTGGGATGTCAAAACAAAACATGTAACATACGAAACCATACCCACGATCAAGGACGTTCTTGGTATAGCCAACTATGGACCAACGGCGACGCTATTCACCCTGGGTCCCAACTATACTGTTCAGCAGTACGACGTAGATGACCCGGCTATGGTGGCAAATGTGCAACATCTCCCGAGCGATCCCCTGTTGCCGCCCTTGGAGGACTCGAGATTTCGGCCAATGTCACCAGAACACTTGTCTCGGGGCAATGCTGGCAACGAGGCAGCCAGCCAACAGCGGGCAGAGAGTCCAGTCTCCGGTAGAAGTCGCACCAACTCGATGAGTTCTCGAGCTTCTTCGGGCCGCGCCCGCCCATTTTCTCCCCCCGTGAAATCCGCCTACAGCGGAACTAGCTTTTCGATGACTTCACCCTTTGGTCGAGGAGCGTCCCACACCACTGGAACATCGATTGCATACGGCTCGTCGGCGTCGGTGTCGTCCGCTCGTTCTCGGGGCGGTTCGCGTTTGAGGAATGAAGTGACCCTCAGTCCTGCTGACAAGCCGCTGGAGGATCTCTTTCCCTTCACGAGGGCTCGTGTCAATGACATTCCGTACACTCACCAACAAAAACGCCAACTTCTGGACGAGTCAAACTTGACAGCTGACGATCTGCGCCGGCAGATGCTGAGCATTGTCTTTGGATGGGATGGTGACATTGAAGGATTGATCCGCGATGAACGTATGATTATCACCATAAAATTCCCTAATTCTTTGTGAGATGAAGATGTGCTGACCCCAGGGGGGAAAAAAAAAGTGAGTCAACACCCGCCAGGTAGCCAAAACGCCATCTTCCTCTCCCGATGGTTGGGAGAGTGCAATCCTGATCAGATGTCTGCCTTGATCAGCTCAGGGACGGTCTCCGCGTCCGCCTGGATGTTCCTGGCACTCAGCCAGATGGGTGGCCAGCAGCAAGCCAACAAAATTGGGCAGACTTTTGTCCAGAGACTATTGGAGATTGGCGATATCCATGCTTCTGCAACCATCCTCTTGGCCCTCGGAGACCGAAACGACGCGATCGAGGTCTACGTGTCCCGCAATTACTTCATGGAGGCCATCCTCATGACCTGTCTGTTGATGCCTACTGACTGGCAGCGGCAATCCTACCTCGTCCGTAGATGGGGTGAATACGTCGTCTCGAATTCCCAGCAGCATTTGGCAATCCGTTGCTTCATGTGCACGGGCGTGGAGCCTTCGGAACCTTGGACTTCTCCAACTGCCCCGAGATTTCCTGAGCCGCGTGTGAAATCCCCAGAGCCACGACCTCCTAGCAGACAGAATGAACAACCAAAGCCGGAAAACAGCAACCGGATGACGGTGAAGAATTCGGCGCTCAAGCTCATTACGTCGTTTGGGCCGCAAGCCAACCAGTCATTCAAATTCCCTGGTCTCATGTCGGACGATCGAACGCCCACAAACGTCCCCGGCGTGACGCCTATCGCGGAATCTGCTGTGGGAGAATCCGCTCTGTCCCCAGGGGGTCTCGGCTCTTACAAACTCAATAATGCGAGAAGCCTCAATCATGCGATGTCGAGGACCGGCACCCCTGGTGGCTTCACCCGGAATCGACTGCCTTCGATAGGAGAGACGCCTGTGGATGTGCAACCTCCGGCCTTCCCGGCACCGAAGTCACTTCCAACGCCCGTGGATTCCAGCTCAGATAAAGAAAAGAATGCTGGTGATAATGCAGAAAAGGAATCAACGGACAAGGATGGCAACGGCAGCGAGCAACCTGGTTTGGTTCTGCTGACATCTGCGAGGTACGATCCGAACAAAGACAAAGACAGCCAGGGTCCTAGTCCCCAGACTGCTGTGCAGGCGGAGCCAAACAAATTCGAGAGTATCAAGGGTCTGCCATCTCCCCCGGCAGCTGTGTTTGAGTCATTGAAGGACCAGGCCCAAACCAGAAACGGCTCACGGGATCGCAAGCCGGAGGGGTTGCATATACAGTGGCCTCCTCCAGAAGCATCAGAGTCGGAGACGGGTGCCTATCCAGAGTATACGCCTTCGCATGAGCAAACCGATACTACTGTCGACACCAGGAGCCCGGCATCGACGTTTCACAGTCTCAAATCAGGCAAAAGTCCCAGTGTCAGCGGCCGCAGTATCGATCAATACATCAGCAGCCTCGAAGAGGCAAACTACTATGCGAAACAGTATCGCCGCCAACATCTTCGAACTCGTGACCGGCGCCACACTGACGCTGATAGCAGTTCTCGGAAACTCAGTTCCCGAAACGGCTCAGTCGACGCTCGTGGTCGCAGTAACACTCGCCATATCCAACCGGCTAAGCGGTCCCCGTCTTCGCCTGTGCCCATGTTTCCGGAAGAATTCGCCAAATACAACGCGAGCACTGAAAGTCTTGGAGCGAGCACAGATACGAGGAAACATCGGAGCCGGAGCAAAGCAGGTTCACGAGCCCGTACTTCGTCCTCGACCAGGGAGCGTCGTCGCCGGTCCTCTTCCAGGGGTATTGATCGCAAGCTGAAGTCGTCGAGTCGAAACGCAAGCGGTCGCCGAAGTCGAGGACGCAGTCGCGACCGGGGAGTTTCAGCTATTCGATCTCCCACCTCTCCGCTCCCCATGTCTCCATCAGGTGACGAGATCCGTAAATTCGAGGAGAGCCTCCGGCTTGTCGAGATTGATCGAGAACGCTTGCGATCTCAACAGCGGAGCACCAGCCGACGTCCCGATCGAGGGACCAGTGCTCGCCGCGACCCATCGCCAGACCGTAGGCGACCACCAACACGATCGGAGAGTCGCCAAGCACGGGAGGCCAACAACGCTCAACCAGAGCCAGCGCCAGCTGCTGATTCTTCGGTTGATGAATCCCACAAACCAGCATCCTCCTTAGCTGGCTTGAGTGCTGCCGAACGAGCCAAGAGGGAACAGGCAGCTGCCGAGCTCGAAGCACGTCGGTTGTCACTCGCGCGTCGTCCTTCAGCGCCCAATATTCCTCTGCCTGGTGAAATTCAAGCTGCCGCTGCTCCTGCTGCGAGCTCTATCGATAGCCCTCCTTCATCTGGCGGATCTGGCGGGTCTTTCAGCCAGCGACTTCGAAGCAGAAGTAACGCCAGTAGACCATCGCCCGACTATCCCAACGCATCTGACTCGAGCTCCTCGCGAGGCCGGTCCACTGTTCCGGTCGGACTGCCAGCGGCTCCGGGGGCGATGCGTTACCCCAAACACAGTGACGGACATGTCGACGAAGATTCTCAGGGCATTCCTGATCTTCCCACCCTGCCGAGCACGACGTATCAGGCAGATGCTGCCAAGATCAGCCGGTCCATGTCTGTCCCAATTGTTGACTATCAGCCAGCTGTTCCGAGCGACCTTCCGCATCACCCGAGATACAACCCGATGATCCCACGGAGCAGATCGACGAGCAGGACGCGAGGGCCCATGGGCCACCGTCGTGATGGCTCCCGCGACCTTCATGGAATCAGCACTAATCGCTACGGATCGCCACCTCCTGTCTCGGTCAGTATCGAGGGGGATGGTCAGCAGGATAGCAAAGCAACTGCTCCTCCAATCCTGCCGGAGCTTCAACATCTGACGACACCACCACCACCGCCTCCTGCGCCAGATCCCGGGTCAAGAGAGTCACTGAAGGACACTGGGACCATCAACATCGTGATTGACGAAAACGCACAAGTCGGCAATGACCTGCCTCGTCCATTCACGACGGGACCCACGTCGACAGCCGAGACTCAGCCCGTGCGCGAGACCCGGCGAGGGTCAGTGGAGCACCGACGGGGCCGGAGCATCAACGAAAGCATTGCGACGAAGATCCGGAATTTCACTGGACGGATGCGAAGCACGAGTCGAGGACCGGGGGCGCGATCTCCGCCAACTGAATCGCCGGATAAAGTGTCGCCATATGAGAGCATCCAGATGGTGACGGCAGATAATCGAATCTGACGCTGAGATTTTCTTCTTCATCTATTCTTCCAAATCAGTCGATCATCCTGACGACGACGTACCATAATTTTAATAACAACGCTTTTATTGCTCTTGTCAGTCATGTGATTACTTACGAGTGCAACATGTGTATGATATCTATTCTTTCTTTCTTTTTTCTTTCTCAGCGCCAGCGCCAGCGCCAGTACATTACTCGCACGCACGTACAGTACATACGCCTGTCATAACTGTCTATACCCGGATGGATGTGTACGACGTCGTCACTCTTTGGCTGTTGTTTTTTCCCCATGTCTGGCTTTGACGGTTAAACTGTCAGCCCGCGAGGGCAATCAATTGCAGAATTTATGGAATTAAAGAGGCTAGGATACGATTATGTATGTATTCAGTAGAGAGAGGGGAGGGGAAGAAGAATGGTGTTGTTGAATGTTTGTACTGTATTGTACATACATACATACATGCATGCATACCAGTCTACATGTAGTGGGGAACGAAGGGAGTGGATGTACGGAGTAAGATGCAATGACATGGACTGATTGAAGTGCCAATTTTGAAGTAGATAAACACACGTAGATGGATAGATAGAACTGCAGCCATGCAGAGTAGTTGGCGGAGCTAGCTCTTTGCCGATCCGGGCTGGTGGATCCTGCTGACTAAGCACGTCAACAACGTCATCGGCGAAGGTGAACCTCCGAGCTCGTTCCGCAGCATCTTCCTCCTCCGTCTCGAGGCAGGCGGGCACAATTCCCCCGTCTGTTGAAGTTTTACATCCATTGAAAGATACCCTGTCGCTGTCCAGCATGGTCCTCGACGACGCGTCGCCGCAAGCCAGCGGCTTCGAGGATGGCAGCTCCGCGGCGGACAGCTACATGTCGACGCCGCTGCCGCCGCCGCCGGTCGACCCGGGCTCGCCGTTCGCGAAATACTACCCCCTCGTCGTCAAGCCCGAGCTCATCAAGCGACCGGGCATCTTCACCATGTACCTCGGGTTCGGCGGCCCGTGGTTCTGGGAAAAGAGCGTGACGCGGACGATCCAGAAGCGCATCGACAACAGCAAGGCGCTGCTGCAGCGCAGCCCGACGCAGAACGAGGTGGACGCGTTTGTCGAGAACGCCAGCCGTCGCGTCATTCAGGCGCGCATGGGCGTGCCGCTGGGCTTGCTGGTGGGCTGTGTGCACTCGTACTCGCGCATCAGGACCGAGGCCGATCTGCCCCGGGACAAACCGTTCGCGCGCGCGCTGTGGGATTATGTCCGCGTGGCGCGCCATGCCGATCCGTTTGGATTGCGGAGTATGTTCGGATGGACCCTGTTTCGCGTCTCGACGTGGATGTTTCTTGGTTCGTTGGTCTCGTCTAGCATCGCGACGATGAACGAGATGGCGAACACGGTGAAGGATCCTCGCCTGCGGCAGCTGAGGGAGAGAGTGGAAGAGCTTGCGCGGCGGAAGGTCATCACGCGTCAGCCGCAGCAGCAGCAGACGCAGACGACGGCAGAGCGTCCTGCAGGATCCGAGTCGCAGACGTCTGCTTCAGAGCCGGCATACGGGCGTCCTGATGCATACTACGGTGGATCCGAGGGGAAGGAGCAGCAGTTTGGATCGTGGCGACTACCCGTGCCAGAGCAGCGCGAGCCAGCGAGGCAGCAGACGGAGTATTCGAGCGGCAGCGATTTCTTTGACGACGCCAGTCCGGTTGCGCCAGAGTACCAGACCGTCTCTTCGACATCGTCATCGTCATCATCATCATCTTCTTCTACCTCTCCCTCGTCACAGAATGCGTGGGAACGCATCCGCCAGCAAAACGCCGGCTTGTCCTCCCCGTCCTCGAATCAGTCGAATGTCTGGGCGACGATATCGCAGAATGCATCCTCGTCATCGCAGCCGCAGCAGCCGCAGCAGCCGCAGCAGCAAACCCAAGACCGAAGCAATGAGTCGTACGAAACAGAAGTGCAAGCCCGGCAGCGGGAGCGCGAGCAGGCGCAACGCGAGTTCGATCGGATGCTGGAAGAGGAGCGTCGGATGTCGCAGGAGAACAGTAACACGGAGCAGAATGGGAGGGGATGGAGGAGGTGGTAGGAATATATTCCCAAGACAGGACGAAAATATTGGAAAGGGTTGGGTGTATAATATATGGATATACATATTTATGTATGCATGCATTGTAATATGGATTATAAGCTCGGTTTGTTTTTGGCAGGAGGAATTCATGCTGTTACAGCGTACATACATTACACAGATGTATTCATTATATATTCTACCTACAGACGAAATTTATGACCTAGTCCTTACCTGGGTAGGTTACCACTTCTCGACATACGGCCTCAGATCGAGTTCAAAAGCGAATGTCGTGCGGGGCTGGGTATGCAGGAACCAGTACGAGTCGGCGATCTACCTATCGTCAGCACATACACCACATAGAAATCTTGATAGGATTCTTGCTCACCGCCTCCGGACTAAGTTTCGCATCCGGATGAGGAAATTTCCACTCCTTCGTCCGCGGGATATCGATCACCCCGTCGACAATCACATGCGCGACGTGGACTCCCTGCGGACCGAACTCGCGCGCGAGGCTCTGGGACAGAGCGCGCAGGGCGAACTTGCCTGTCGCGAAGGTGGCGAAGGTCGCTGAGCCGCGGACGCTGGCTGTTGCGCCTGTAGTCAAGCACAATTAGCGGGAAACCCTCGCAGGGGCTGGTTTCTGTATAGGTATGCCTACCGGTAAAGATCAACGTAGGCGGATGCTCCAACTTCTTCTCCCCGGACTGATCCACCCCCTTCAACAGCAGCGGCAGCGTCGCCTGACTGAACAAGAACGCCCCCCTAGCCTGGCTGTTGTACCCCGCGACGAATTCTTCTTCAGTGAGTTCGAGGAAGGGCTTGCGCACGAACCCGCCTCCAGGGTTGAAGATGGCTGCTGCGAGGGGCAGGTCCGGAAACTCCTTAGCGATCTTGTCGAAGGCCGCCCGCACGCTGGCTGCGTCGGAGAGATCGGTGCTGATTCCGAGCGCTTTGCCGCCTGACGAGTTGATCTCGTCTACGACGGGCGTGAAGTTGGCTGGGTTGCGGGCGAGGACGACGACGGGGTAGGATTGTGCGAAGCGGCGGGCGACGGAGGAGCCCTAGAAACCAAAACCAAGGTGTTAGCTTAGCATGGACGCATTGTTCGAATACGATGGATGGATGATATACTCACCGTGCCAGGCCCAACACCGGCGACGATTGCAAAGGCTCTTGCTGCTGCTGCTGCCATTGTGTAGGAGGTGCCGTATGGACAACTAGAATAGATGGTTTAACGATTTCTGTCAGTGGGATAAGTATGTATGTCACAATTGAGGGGTTGTCGTCGTAGTTATATGGTAATGGCAATGGCAATGGGAATTGCTGCTTAGAAATCTGTAATAGCAGAGATTAGTAAACAAGAATTAATTAGCGTAACCAACCCAATGGTGCAATTGTACCAATCGATCAAGCGAGACAGAAACAGGCAAGATCACACGTGTTCCCTCTTACCTTCCAATGGTTATTATTATTATCCCCCGTCAATCAATCAGTCAGGTTTGTTTGTGGTGGTTCATCGCGAGATTTACCGTCGATGTCGTCATTGCATTGCTTACTTTGCTTAGGTTAGCATGCGGGGCTGTTTGCTTGATTGATAAGCGATGATAAGCGGACCCCGCAGGAAAGCAAGCATGGAAGCTACCATGGATGCATGCGTGCTTGTAATAAGAATAATTACTGTACGATAGGCCAATAATATTTATCTATATGGGTTAGTTATTTCTATGCAGAGATGAACCTTGAAGAAGATGACGGAGAAGAAGAAGAAGATGATGATGATGGTTGAAAGAAAAATGATTCTTCGTACGTACTGTACTGTATTGTACATGTACATTATGGAATAATAATCCATCGGACTGGGAACTTTTTACTTGGATAATCCGGAACAATCCGACTTCATGCAAAAGAAGAAAAAAAGAAGAAAGAAAGAAAGAAAGAAAGAAAGAAATACAGGTCCCAGGTCTTTCCATATCTCTTAGTAACAATATGTCTTTCTATTCCTAATAATAAAAATACAATCTCTTAGTAGACTCTTAGCAATGCAATTAATTCCTTCAGTTTGTATGCATTTGTATTTTCACCTCCCCATGAAAGCACTGGACTACATGATATTAAGAAAAAAGAAAAAGAAAAGAAATTAATGTTTTATTTACACGTAGCAGTGGGGAAAGGGCATAAAGGGCATGATGAAGACTTCAGAGTAGAAATCATAAGAGAGACATCCTGCAGAACTCTCCATCTACGAAGATCTGTCATTATTATTATCATCATCAAAAACATCATCTTCTTTTCATCTCTTCCACATCTACCACACTGCATTATACTTCAACTTCACCGTCCACAACGCCAGCAAAGCGCTGCTGTTCTAACCCTAACAAGGTTATCTGAGAGGATCTACACTGTAATATACTAAAGAAAAAATAGCTATTAGTTTAAGACCACAGTGCCTCTTGTTAAAACAATTCCTGGCGGTAGCAGCAGCAGTAGCAATAATAGTAGTAATAGTAGCAAAAGAAGGACATCTAACTAGAAACAACACACTTAATCAGGGTGTATGCAGGACTCAATGCCTATAAAACCAAGCATACACAATTTCAAACTTTTTGTCGACGAAGGTACTAAGGATGTAGTTACTATCTTTACCAATAATGGAGCGAAGAGTTTTCAGAAATAGAGAAAGTTTCTGATAAATAGAGACTATTATAGCACAGACTTTAATCTTACCGTTTTGATTACCAGGTTTGCAGTTTTAGAGAAGGAACAGTACAGGAGTAGAATAGTTCAGATTAAGGGAAAGTACCTAACGGTATATAATAGGAGATAGATAATTTTATTCTTATAGGGCTACATAAAGAACTAGCAATCAACAGAAATCAGGACAGAGAAAAAACAGATTCATCTCAGATAAATATCCCACAAGATCTAGCCTTATATAAGGTAAAGCGTCAAGTTCGTCGAGGACAAGCATCCTTCAACGTTTTTTGTCATTCACACTTCTGGCTTCTATTTCTCCTCTGACGCGGCTACATCACGTCTTCTGCCAGTCATACGGCACCGCGGTAAAATGCGTCTCAAACCGCCACGGCTTGTGCGGGTCGATCTGCTCCATCTCATAATCGCGGACCAGGGTCGCGGTGACTTTGGAAATCTCGAAATGCGCGAGGTTGCGCCCGGGGCATTGATTGTAGCCCGCTCCCCACTGTCGTTGAACCACATTAATTAAGAGAGCCAACGAAAAAGGGTTGTGTAGTTGGGAGCTTACATGGATGAGAAAGCTGTCCATCTTCTTGGATCGGCCTGCATCCAGCCAACGCTCTGGAATGAACGAGTCGCAATCGAGACCGAAAAGCTCGGGATTTCGGTGGAAGACCCAAGGATTGACGCTTAAGACGGTCTTGAGAAATGAAAACCTTTAGTCAGCAATCCACACATGACGAGAAAATTCTCACGTACGCCTTATTTGAAATATCGGCCGTTGATGGTAAGACCACCAGGGGGAACAACCCGGGGAAGTCCTGTCCCCGTGGCAGGGTGATAGCGATACGTCTCCTTGATCTTTCAACAAGTCAATCTCTTTCCCCGTAATATGCTGGTTTTCACTTACACAGGCTTGCAGGTACGGCAGCTTCTGAGCCTCTGCGTACGAGACGATCTTGGAGAGCTGTCCATCCGCGGACGCAGTATCGATTTCCTGCCGAAGGCGTTGGAGGTACTGAGGATTCCGAAGAAGATAATAGAAAAAGGCTTGTAAGGTAGCACTCGTCGTATCAGCTCCTGCGCCGATAGTGGCAACTGCCGCGGCGAAAACCTCATTCTCGGCCATGCATCCGGGTACTTCTGCTGCATTCTCATCCAATGCTCCACCATGTCGTTACGGACATCTGGATTCTGTTTCCTTGCGTCCAGAGCAGCCAGACAGGTGTCGAAAATGTGCGACGATGGCTGCAGACCCAAACGGCTCAGCATGGGGTTCCCCAACGTGAGATGATGCAGCCAGGCATAGTGTCCCATCACGGAGATATACAGAGCCAATGCCCGCGTGTTTGCAATCGCGTTCCGGATATCGGTGCCCGTCTCGAGAAACCGGAAGGGCTGGGAGAAGGTCACTTCGCCAAGCACATCGAACGCGAAGTAGTTGAACCATCTGTCAAACTCGACAGGCTGCCCTGCTTTGGTCAAGGCATCGAACTCGGTTCCCAGCAGCTCCAGGAGCTTATCAACTTGGGGCTCGAACTTGATGATGCTAGACAGCGCA